TGCGATGTCCTCCAAAAAAACTTGTAGATTATCAAATTCCTTGAAAAGGACGAGACAATCCGTGTGGTCGAAACGTCGGAATCAAACAAATGAATCATCCGCCAGCCTAATGCTCGTCTAACAATTCTTTTTACAGATAATTTTATATTGAATATCGTAAAAACCGTACGAATATCGTAAAAAACGTAATATTACGCATCGTGATATCGTTAATATCTGACGATCTCGCGGTTGCCGGATGACAATGACCGCGTGGCATTTGTTAACGAGGAATCGGTCACGAGTCACGAGTGTAATATCGGTGTATAATTTATCCAGCGTAACGGCGGGGATTATTCCACACGCCATTAAATCACCATCTGGCGATTTTCATATGACCGCGAAACATTAACGGGTTCCGTTTATAGACCGTCGACGGTGGTCAGCGTCGATCGCGTTGTGCACGAGACGGAATAAAAGCGTGACGTCAAATACGGTGCACCCGCGTTACGTCACGTAGGGTTTGAAGGGCGGTGGGTTCGCGCCCGCCGTATCAGCGTCCCCCGTGCACGTGAAAGATCTTTTTGTTACACGCTGGAGGCGTGTGCGCGAGCCGACTGCCCTCCCTGAGATTACTTCAACGCGGTGATTAAGTTCGCGCGAGAGGGTAAAGGGGGGGATTTTTAGACCGGGAATCCGTGCACGGTGGTCGCGCGAAGCTCGGCGCGTGATAATATTAAATTTTGTTTTATACGCTTTATTCGCCGGCGGATTTGCAATTCTTTCGAGTGGCTTCACCCTCTTACGGGGAGGACGTGGGGCCCCGTGATGGCGATAATAATAACGACCATTTTGATCGTAGTCTTGGCGACTCGGGAATAACCTAATAAAACCTTCTAATAAACGTTGCGCGTCGTTAATATATCGGACAATGCTTTTTTGATGCCTCCGTCTATTAATAGATAGAGGAAGAGGCTTTACAAGTGCTCGCCGTTGACGCTAATCGACACGTTGCGCATTTCCCTCTTAAAATAAAATCCGGTAGTAGACGGTCGCATCTAGCGGTAAATGAAGTATGTAACTTTGCGTCTGAGGAAATAATCGAGCGAGGATTTATTTACTCTGTCACCAGTCCTCTCATCACACCGCCGTTGATTGCTCTCTCTCTCTTCTCTTTTTCCCTCAGAGACAAAGCTCGTCGGTCCGAAAGCTCTCTTTCGCCGGTGTGATGTTAATACGCCGGCGACGATGCAACGCGTGACCCCGTCGGAACAATCTCACCCCATCTTGCGGCAGCTCGGCAGCTGGCCACCTTTGAAGCTCAAAAGCCAAGCCGCCACGCTTGTAGTAACGCTATCGATCGATGGGGTTTACTACTAAAGGTGCACTCACGGGCTCTTTGGTTTATCGGATGTCGCGCCAGTGTTCTTCGAATCTCATTTGAGAGTCGCCAACGCTGAAATTTCCGGCGCGCTGAACTTCGAAGGATATCGGAAGCGACGGGAAAGCGGAAAGAGGGAGAATTCAAACGGACTGACAGAGGGCGAAAGAGAACAGGGGAGAGAGAGAGAGAGAGAGAGAGAGAGAGAGAGAGCGAGCGCGAGAACGCGGGGACAGATGAGAGCGGGACGATGTGATTTATTCGAATGCAACGGAAACGCTGACCTTCCTCTCTTCCGTTTCTCTCGTTATTGAATCCTCTTTGCGGTATTACGGCGTAATTGGCTCTCGCTCCATAAACTCTTACCCTCATGCGAATTAACTTAAATTTAACCCGCCGTTCGCGCAGCGCGTTTCGTTATAGCGGCTTCAAAGTGGGATCCATTCGGACGATCTGATTGATTGCGTTGCCCGGCGTTTTGCGCATTTTCTCTCGCCGCAGACTGGACAGATCTTGCTTTTCTTTTTATTTTTTTAATTTTTTGCCACTCCACAATTCTGTCGCGCGTTTCAAGTGACCGCGCGCGCGGTCTCGATCGAGCGACCGAAAATATCGCGCGTACGGGAGCGTTGAATAAATACCCGTATAAATCGAGTCGTCCAATACGCAATCTCGCGAGCGAGTGTTATCGCACTTATCGCGATATTTGCTCAAGCATGATATTTAAATTGGAGAAAATCTGCGTCGAGCGTTGTACGTGCCGTAACATTTACGCTGAAGGGGGCGATATAACGGTTACTCGTCCAGAAGTGTACGCAAATACGTTACAAATCTAGGAGAAGGCTCGTACGGTTTAATGAAACGTTTGATCGGTTACTGTTTGAGAAAGAGAGAAATCCCGGGAGACTTTTCTCGCAGAGGCGGCATGAAAACTTGGGCAATAAGACGCCCTTCTTGCTGCCCTCGCGAAGAAACGCGCGGAAAATTCTGCAAGATTAACGTCCGCACTTGCAAGATTAATGTTGCCTTATTCAACAGGAGAGAAGTTATTTTCTCTCGTTTGTACCGTGTACGAGCATAGGCATTCTTGCCGCGTCGCCGTGTAATATTAACGTCACGCGGACAATGGGGCTCGAGAGCAGCTGGCTTTATTCCGATATATTGGCCGAGCGTTGTTCCATTTGCCGACTTCAGTCGGCGGCAACTTTGAACGCCTGAGAAACGCCCGTAAAGGGTGTAGGCAAGAGAGTTCAAAGTCGCCCTCGGAGGGCGAGATCCCAGAGTTCTTCCTCGAAGCCGGCGACTTTGAAACGCTGACGTCGGCCCGTCGAATCCGCGCCGCTTGGGAATCGAATTAACCGTGGCGTCCTGATCAAAGCGATCTTTCCTCGAACTCCACCCCAAGGTTTTATACAGTATTTCTCTCCCTCTCCCGGAGGGATTCCGTTCTATCGGAACAAATTTAGCGTCAATTCGACGTTGAATCGACCGATGAACCACCTTTCGAGAACGTAGAACGAAGCTCGCCACCTCTGTTTTACATCGCCTCGGAAATTGCACGTAAAGTGGGTCTGCGAAGCGAATATCGAGTATTCTCGGGCCAATAATTCGTGCCCTGGGTCACGTAACTACGCCACGCTTAGTTACCGGCGGTTTTGTCGGCGAAACTTTTATCGCACGGGTGGCCCGTTAATTTGTCGCACATTTTCGATTCCTCCCACCGTCGAGGGCCCGTCGCGACGAAAAAAAAAAACACCCGACGCCGGTCCGGAACATCTGGTTATACGACGCTGCTAATGAAACTGTCGTCTAGTAAAACCGAGAGAAGGGTCGTAGGAACTTCTATCTCGCTGCATTAAGAAACTCCTCCGACTAATCCGATTTCGACCTAATCCGTTTGATCTCTCTAATATCTTCTTATGGCAACGCATCCAGATACCTTTTAGAGTGCCCTCCCAGAGTATCAGTTTTCATCCTGGACGGCCCTTATCGCACGAGTAGGTAGAAATGGAAGGTCGAGCGGGACGAGTGCCCCGAGCGAGGGATTTTCATATGTGCGTGATCAGAAATGATACCAGCGTCGTACATTGCGTTACATAGTCGAATGACGTATAAATCTCAAGGGACATACGAAGGATGCTTAACGAACGTTGGAATTAAATCTGATAAATCCCCGAGTTGACATTTTGGCCCTATGTTGAACTTTCCCCCATGAAATAGTATACATCCTAAAATATATAATATATCAATACCTAATATACGTTAATATATATATATAAAAGCATATAACTAATTAAATCATTTTTCGCCGCCTATGATATAGAAGAAATATAAGAAAATACTATATATTTATAGAAAATATGCAAAATATATTTTCAATACATAATCTAATATATAAAATAGATATATTAGAATATATATGCCTACATATATGAAATTAAATAATTTTTTACCGATTAAAATATATAATGAATATAAGTAAAGAAGGTATACTTTTACTGCACTCAAGACCTCCATATAATTATTACATATATTTTTAAATATATTTTTATATGTATATTTTTCATGGGGATTTAATTCCATTAGATTGTAGAACCTAAGACAGTAAAAGAGGTCGAAGTGCAAGTACAAAATTGACTCCTACTTAAAAACTGACAGTGTCGGAAATTTCTACTTTTGCCAAATTAGCATTAAAGTAGGTCCTTTTAAGTAGAAGCTAATGTAAGTTTTTAGAATTAAAGATTCAAGGGTGGAGTAAAAAATATAATGTCATGAAAGTAGATTATTGCTGGTCTATGCAGGTGTATTGATCAGCCAAGTAGGTGTAAATTAGCCTTAAAAGTGTCAAAATTGTAGCAAATTTTCGACTCGGGTCGAGATAAATATCTCTCGAACGTGTCTTCAGGATCGGTGCAATTACGTAGATAATTTCACCTCGCGTTCTGAGATCCTTTGGGCTGCAAAATGTCCATCCATGTATTTGAAAGACGCCCGACTGCCAAGTACCAAGAGCAATTGACGCGTAGAGATAATGTACGGAATAAAATATCCTAAACTGGAAACTGGAACTTGCAGTCACAGTGCCCAAATATATCGGCGAGACAGTTTGTTCTTCTCGAACGTGCATATACATGTATATCGAACGAGCCTTAGAAATTGTTCTCCTGTTGGGCGCACTTTAAATTTAATTCTAGAGATCCCATCTCCTGAAATAGGTTGGACGGCTCATTGTTCGACGGCGGTCCGTGTTCCGTACACGTTCGCAAACGCACGAATCAATATACACAGCGCGCCGAAAGATATTACGTTAGTGATTGGATTCGCCAACATGGAACTATCGACCGGACCCACATGTTGCTTTTATATCAGGAAATAGATTTTGAATGGGCCGGGTGGAAAGGTCAATTATGAATTCGCGGAATGTGACGTTTTGTCCGATTAATTGCTATCATCAACACCTATTTTTATCGTATTAATGTGGTCAACCTTGTTGACTTAAACGCAATATAATGCAAATAGACGATTGCATGTAATAAAATACAAACAGATAATTAATTTATGCTACACTTCTGACACAGCAATTTTTGGTGAAGCAGCGATCGTTTTGCGCAACGTGTAAAGATTTGAAGGGACCCGATTCTTCATTACCAAAATGTTATCGCGATTGTGCGCTGTTATTTTATTAAATCTGGCCAAATGGCGTTTACTTAATACAATAATACAACAGCTAATTATTGCAAGCGTCGCTAATTACCTTGCGAGGCAGGTTCCGACACTCATAAGCGTACTCGCGTTGCGTTTAATGAATACGCAGCTGTGAAATTGGTAGGCATCGACGCAATTATGATATCTAAGTGGTTTTATTATGGGATACGAGTGATGTTATAAATAATACAACTTAATATCAATCGACGTATCATTATCGAAATGATTTTCGCGAGACTACGTTCGGAGATTTTACGCGCGCGCGCGCGCCATAAAGGGACGGCTGACAAATGTTACGTGAATCCTCCTATCACGGTGCCATTTACGATAAACGATTTAATTAACTTCCATTAATAACGTCGATATTAGTTGTCGTCAATTCCCCGTGAAACGCCCGTCGCGACGCTAACGCGGAACAAGAACTGTTATTCTTATTATCAGCGCGAGAGTGATTAAAATAATTATTGTTAATAACGTTTCGGCGGAAATTGGCGCGGAGGGACGGACAAGCGAGGCCGGGACTATCGATCGGGTGATTAAACCGCGTCCCTTCGTGATCTCCCATGAATATTAATTGGGATTACGACGGCGTTCACCGGCGCAGTCAATACCATAGGACAGCGGGCGATAGCGGGATCCATGGGACATTGCCGTTGGCCGAGACCGAGACAATTCGAGGGCGAGGACGACGCCTACTTCCTGCAGATGCAGATGCCGTCGCGGCAGCGTCCGCCCCGGCGACGCTGCGCCAGGCATTTGGCCGCGCAGGCACTGTGGTTGATGGTCAGCCACTTGGACTGCCAGGACAGAAGGTCGCAGGTCACGCGCCGGTTCCGGATGGGCGGCAGGTTCTCCGGCACCTCGTCGTACGCCGCATCCTCGATTGTAGCTGAAACGCAATTCCACCGCTTTATTTCCCGATGAAAATAAGTGAGCCGGTATCGCGGGCCGGTATCGCGTTTTATGTTCATTTTACAGATGTACGGTGTCTCCTCGAGAGAGAAAGAAAGAGAGAGAGAGAGAGAGAGAGCTTGCGTAACAGGCCGTTAGACGCGGGGGAGGTTTCATCAAGGATGCGTATACTTTTTTTCGCGAGGGCGACGCCGACTCGTGCGAGAGGAGCGAAAAGCTAAGGGGGCCTGATTGCCTCCTCTCTTTTTTCTCTCCGTCTTCGAATGTTTAAAGTTTTATACCGGGAATTGCGCGACGTCTTGCGAATCAAATTTCAAACTTGAAACTTTTTACGCGACTGCGATTATAAAAATAGCTTTGACATTTGAATTAATATGACAGAAATATATAACGAGACGCGACTTTCGAAACAGCCTATTTAGCACGCGACTCAGCCCAAACATTATTTCTAATTCAGCGCTCTCGGAAATGACACGGTAACTCGTAATAATGGAATGAGTCGTCACTAGAAAAGGTCGTGTCGAGCTCGATATGAAAGGATATCGACAGACAGGATGTTATCAGTGTATGCTAAAAGGGTGCATGTCAGACAGAGAGCGAGAGAGAGTGAGAGAGAATATGTGAGTGCAAGTACATGTGTACAAGTATACAACGCGTAACACAAAAGGCAGCGCATTCTGGGCATTTATTACTCTATTACAAAGTATCGTCGCGTTACATTTCATTCTCCGCACCGCAAAGCTGAAGTTACAATGCACGGTACTCAACGAGCCCGGCGTTCATTATGATAATCTAATTATCGGCAAAAAGTGTCTCGGTGTAACTCGATATCTCGGTGAATTGTGATATCGAGTTGAATCGAACTTGATATCTCGGTGAATAAATCTTTGATAAAGGTGACAATTATTCGACGTCGATTAACGTATTAAGATCGCGCCATTATCGAGAGAACTGTCGTTAGAACTTGGTGAATTTATTCGTAATCCCGAGTCGAAATTTTGGCCCTATGTCGAACCTTCAATTCTATTATATAGTAGAACCCAAGACAGTAAAAGAGGTCAAAGTGCAAGTAACAAAATTTACTCCTACTTAAAAACCGATAGTGTCGGAAATTTCTACTGAATTTAGCCGATTTAGCATTGAAGTAGGTCCTTTTAAGTGGGAGCTAAAGTAAAATTTTGGAATTAAAGATTCAAGGGAGGAGTAAAAACTATAATGTCACCAAAGTAGGTTATTGCTGGTCGATGTAAGTGTACAGATCAGCTAGGTAGGTGTAAATTATCGGGGATGCCTCTCGGCGAACTATACGCTTACTCAATTCGTAAGTAGGTCCGTCGTAGACAACCGGTAGCACACTGGCCGAAGTGCAGGCCAACACGACGAAGACGGCGAGGACAGCGAGCAGCTTCATGATCGCGGAATCTCGTTGCGCACTGAAATTCGTCTCGAAATTCTTCGAACAATAACGTTCTTAAGGACGCGGAGTGTCGCTTTATATGCCTTATCTCTGCCGCCGAGAACATCCTCTTCTCCTTCGCCGGGTCCACTTCCGTTCAGCATCGCCTTTCCTCTCGATGTCTCGCCACCGGAATTCCTCGCGGCTTCGCGTTCGCCATTCCCAGACCCGCCGGCCGTCGACCAGATCCGTCGCTTAAACTGACCTACGTATCCGAATATTAATTTCCGACGTTATCGCCGTTACCGGGACGGCTGAGAGTGAAAGAGAGAGGCGAAACAGGTCGATCGATCGCCGCATTTCTGTCGTCGAACGGAAGCGCGCGGACGTGACTGTAGCGCGCGAGGAATAAGTGAATTAAAAAGAAATCGACAGGTATTTTCATTCCGTGTACTATTGAATTTCTGAACTTGGAACAAGTTGTGGAGACTGCCGCGAAGCTCGTTGGATATAGCTTTCTGTTCCCTCTAGCTCTTGCTCTCGCGACACGTCGCGGCGCCGGCGTATTACAAGTGTATTAAAGGAGGAAATCTGTAATAGAATACCGAATGTCGGGCGAGAGGCAATTCGTCTCGGCGTCTCGAGTCGAAATTTTGGTACTATTTTCACACTTTTAAGGATAACTTACACCTACTTAGCTGATCTATACACCTACGTAAACCAGCAATAACCTACTTTGATGACATTATATTGTTTTACTCCTCCCTTGAGTCTTTAATTCTAAAAATTGGCTTTAGCTCCTACTTAAAAGAACCTACGTTAATGCTAAATTGGCAAAAGTAGAAATTTCCGACAATATCGGTTTTTAAGTAGGAGTAAATTTTGTACTTGCAGTTCGATCTCTTTTACAGTCTTAGGTCCTACTATATAATAGAATTAAAGGTTCAATACAGAGCCAAAATTGCGACTCGGGGTACGTATTCATTTATGAATAAATGATCTGTTTTTCAATTTTCGATTACGCCGGTCGGATTTGATCTTTCGCGATAAAAGGCTCGCGCATGCAGATAGGTATTAAACAATTTGAATTACGAACAATCCGCATTACGACCACAGAGAGTTAAAATTGATCGGGGAACGAAATTTGAAAGTCAATCGGAATAACAACTCTTTTTCCCCCATTGTGCGGGCTCCGTCGTTGAAATCGTCGCGGCTAATAACGCGATTCTACGCGCTTTGCGCGTGTCCGAAACGTCAGCAATTTGTTTGTGAGAGACGTCACGGTGTCGGCTAAGCTGTGAATAAACAATCGATGATGGAAGGTAATGCTGCAGCGGTCGCAGGTGATCGCAAATTTCATTAGCGTGAGCTGTAGCAGCTGACCCAGATACCGAACAAAAATATGACTCCTGCGAACGCTAAATATTTGCGTAACTGCGCAAATGTAACGTTTCATGCCGTTACTGTCATTCCTGACATATTTTTTCCCCCCGCCGCCGTATTCGAGGGTGTTACAGCCCCGGGGATTGTGCCGTTACGTCCCACGCAAATATATTTATGGAGATTTAACGCCGAAATTACCCCCCTATTACACACGGACGTGATACACGAGGCGGGGGAGTATGTCCCGGATATATCAAATCGAAATGCTCGCACGTGCTCGGAATTACACGAGCCGAACAAGACTATATATTACGTGCAGTGCTTTGCCCGCTGTTAGATGCTTGTCTCCGCGGGAAATAAAAAGACCTGCTGGGAATCTCCCGAATCTCGGTATCGCACACACTCGAGAAATCTCTCGTCTGATATCCGTTCGGAATCTCAAGCGGCAGGGTGTATCCGGGACGCTGATTCTGTTTATAGACGTGGGATCACTAAGTGCCGGCTGTCTAATCGGTGAAACGAAGGAAATATTTATTAACAAAAGTAATTAATGAATAAGAGCGAATATAATCAAATGCTGAACAGTTTCGATGAACCTTGGTCAAAGAAGCTTGCCGAAATATCGCTAAGAGGAAAACTTCAGACTTTTAAGGGTCGATTTTTTCAAGCTCTTGGCCGAGCTACTTGTCTAATTTGAAGGAAAAACAAAGGTATACCCGAGTCGAAGTTTTGGTACTGTTTTAACACTTTTAAGGATAATTTACACCTACTTGGCTGATACACCTTCGTAGACCAGCAATAACCTAATCTACTTTGATGACATTATATTTTTTACTCCTCCCTTGAATCTTTAATTCTAAAAATTTACTTTCGCTCCTACTTAAAAGGATCTACGTTAATGCTAAATTGGTAAAAGTAGAAATTTTCAAAACTGTGAGTTTTTAAGTAGGTAAATTTTGTACTTGCACTTCGACCTCTTTTACTGTCTTAGGTCCTACTATGTAATAGAATTAAAGGCTCAACATGGGCCAAAATTTCGACTCGAGTATTGTACGTAATTTAACTGGTTAACTTACCAACCGGTCTTAAGGACATTGGTAGAATAGAAAAACGTAAAGGATAATTGCTACACGGGCCGCTTTAAGATCCCAGAATTTTTTTGTAAGGACAGAAATGAGAAGGCAGTCGTACTGTCCGAGCTCGAGCAGCGGGAACGGCACCGGCGAGCCGCTGATCGTCGTCGAGGAGAGCACGGGCGAAGAGGAAGCGGAGCGCTGCCGCGCGGAATCGCCGCCGCGATGCGTCGACCCGGACTCGCCGTCCTTGAATCCCTATCTGCTCTCGCCGTGGAGGGACGCCAGGAAGCACTCCTTGCCGACGCCGCAGTGCACATCCGGGATAACCGCATCCCAGGTACGTGTTCCGCACGTGCACCGGAAGTCCTTCGCGGTCGGCGCTATCGTTGTACGTATTGGCTTTATGCCGCGGCACGCGCGCCCGAGACATCTGAAATAGACTGTTCTCCGAACTCCAGAATAATCTCGGTAATGATCGATCTTGGGGAGAGAAAGACATTGGAGATAGATATGAAAAATATCTCAAAGCTAAAGAAATAAATCGGGATAAAATTTGTGATAAATATCTAAAGGGCTTTTCGCTCCTTTTCGTATTTTACGTGGATTAACATTTTATTTTGACGTTGGCATTCCAAAGATGTCATTTTAATGCGCGCAGTCGAATTTTTGCCTAGGTCTGCGACGGAGATCTTTAAGGGGACGCTGTAGTGATTCTGCACCTCTTGCTCCGGCACGGAGAGAATTTTCTCTTATATCCTGAGAATCATGCAGACGTAGGACAACATGGCATTTTGAGGAACTTTATGAGAGCTATTAAAAATTGTGCCACATATTTCACTGGTAAAATGTGTACCAAGTATAATTGCTAGTAAAATATGTGGTAACATTTCCAAAAGCTCGCGTAAAATTCTTGGAAACGCCACGTTGTCCCGCGATTACATGATTTTTCAGGATAAATTTTAAGAGAAAATTCTCCCCGTGTAGAACTGTCAATTCATCAAAACGTTTGTATACTACACAAACGCTTTCATGAATTGACAGCTGTAGATGCAAAAAGTACAAAGGGTGCAGAATCGCTCCAGCGTCCCCTTAAATAATCACACGTTGTGTAAAATCCGATGCTGTGCGATCTGTACAGCTCCCTGGTGACGCTGTTTCCGTTTTAATTTCTCTCTCGCGCGCTAAGACAAATCATATTGGATGCGGGATCGATTAGGTGGTCTCTCTTCCTAAATTGCACGCGGTGTTTAGGTGCGACGGTTGAGCGAACGCGGCGGGGAAGGTTCCGGTCCGTCGGCGAGGGAGGCTGCCTTCTTGGCGACGCTCTCGCAGACGCCGGCACCGCAGTCCGGCGGCCGACGACACTCCGTCGTCACGATCTCCAGGGTGCCGACCACCCTCTTCGGCCGCAATCGACGAGAATCCATCGCCGCGTTCCCCGTAGCAGGCGCCACCAGGATATTACAGAGCCGGCGGGAATCGTCCACCGGGATAACCGGGCCGCCCAGCAACAGCGGGAGCACGCACAATCTGCAGCTCGACATTATGGACGACATCGCCGAGATCAAGGCGAGAAAGGTAGATTGTAACCCCGGATCAGCGACATTTCTAGTAATCATAGCAATCGAGCGTACAACACGGCAATACTTAAATGGTGCACTGACAAAAAAAACATTTCCTTTAAATCAAGTAAATGGACTTGCCTAAAGTTATTTTTTGCTACCGAAGTTAATATTTATTCTATTTAAATAAAAATATCAAATTTCAAGTAAATCTATGTATTATGTTAGGCAAACCCGTTTGAATCGTTACATTTTCTACATTCAAATAAAGATTTCACGAGATGTAAAATACTATTCATTAAACGAACTAATTGTTTTTGTTAAATAAGAAATGCAATTTTCTTCGCTGTGAAAATCACATCTTAATAAACGTTTTATAGAATTAAAATAAAATGGTTTAAATTTAAAATTATCTGTTCTTCGGTATTTAATAAATTTAAGCTAATAAGCTATTAGGAGGCACCTAATGAATAATTTTCTTGAGTAACGTAATATTTGTTTGGATTATGATATTTTTTTATCAGTGTACATAAATAATATAAATGAGATAGGGCGAACAAACCGTAATGATGAGATTGTAGACCTGCTAATTGAATAGAATCAAAAGATAAGGCCGGGTCTTATGGTAATCACTTGTAATCGCTAACCACTTAGGCTTATTAGGCTGTTCGTTATTGATTTTTATTATGGCTGCCCATCCGTATTTTTCTGCCCTTTTCTACCCTCGAGATTAAACATGTAAGAGTCCACGGCGGCCTATTAGGAGTCCAATCGCAATTCTAAGACATTCTCAGCGTCGTAGATTCGAAATTCAAGAGCTCTTACATCTTATAAAGATAATAATAAAATTGCTTCTTCTCGAGAGCGAAACCAAAAGACAGAAAGAAGGTCTAATTAATGTATCTCTTGGAGCGAAGAATTTTTCAAAGGGAATAATTCAAGTTTCAAAAGTAGAAAGGTGGTTGTTACAGTTCGTATTTAAATGTTGTTCCAAAGGGAACGCCGCTGTCCATTAGCAACTCATAGATATTTCACATTAATTCGTTGTATAGTTAAATAGACAGTTTTGTTTGACGTTTCGTTTAAGCGGGGAGCGCTCTAATCGTGCTCGTACACGCGTCCCAGGTCCGTTTAAAGATGTACAAGACACCGTCTCGCGAGCGCGTATGCGAGATTCAGCCTCTGGAGGGCGACGGCAGCTCTACCACGCAGAAATACATACAGCATCAGAAACGCCGGTTCTCCGAGTTCTCGGCGTCGGTCGCGGCGTCCACGTCGGCTCTGCGTAGACGCGCGTCCGAGATGACGAGGCCGCACTCCGAGATCGAGATACCGGGCATGCCGACGGCAGGTATCACGTGCTCCAACACGGATCTGATATCCATCCTGAGCTCCCTGACGTCGTCCGCGACGGAGATAAACACGTGCGGCACGTCGGACGCGTCGGGCGCCAAGGACGAGCAGAAATCGAGCTGGTCCGCGAAAACGGCGGAGCAGAGGCGCAGTCGGCTCAAGAGCTCCCGGTCCAACAGCTTCGACGTCTCCATTCTGCACAGCACCAAGTGCAAGACGCCAACTAGCAGCAGCAAGAGCGCCATTGGGGCGTTCATGACGCCGAGCACGTGGTTCGTCAAGAGACACCAGCCCATCTCGAAGAAGAGCCGATACGACGAGGAGAGCGCGCCGATGTTCAAGCTGGACAAGGCGCAGGTGGTCAAGACTGTCAAGGACACGCTCGCGAAGAACGTGGGCACCAAGCACAAGGTTCTCTGGGACGACAGCAGCGGTACCAAGGTGGATGCTCAGGTAAACCAACTCTATCACGCCCAGGTCAGACGCGCCCGGACTAAGCGGGTAAACGGCATTGCACAATGATACTATTTCGCAGTCGTTGAGAAAAAACAAAATTTGTTCACTCGCGTTTGTTCGCGCTTGCTCGCTTAGTCGAAATCCAGCTTTGTTCAAGAGAATCATGAGTTTTTCCATTAAGAATGTATTAACTGTAGAAGAATCGATTCAAAAAATGAGCGAATGCGTTCACAGGCATTGAGCAAATCATGAATGGGATTGTCAGCCTTAGGCAAGGTTCCATTGTTGGACGTATATTTTCGTTTGCGCACCCAAGATAAATACATGCTGGCAAAGAAGGGAGTAAGGTCGCGTAAAGGTAAATTTTTTTCGCTTGATTCGACACTGATAGGTGCTCGGTAATGCCATCGAGAAGATCCTCACCTCGACCCACAGGGGAAGCGACGCGGAAGCGTCGGGTAGTTCATCCGGAAAGCCATCCGTGTCGCCGAACAAGTCACGCGCCAGTAAGGTCGCCGGTTGGTTCACGAGCGGGAACAAGGAGCCGGAGCAACCGGACTGCGACTCGATCTGCTCCACCCTCAAGGACCTCTTCGTCAAGTAGTGCACCACCGCCGGACCCGCCTCTCGCGATTACGACAATTCATATGTTTCGTTTGTAAACACGATCTACCGGATTGACAGTACGAGCTATTTGCTGCACTGCCGCTATTTATTTACTTTACTTCTCTTTCGCTGAATGAGTTCAACATCCGAGCTAACTCGCGCGCAAATCTGCCGAGATCTGTTGGAACGGTTCTCTTGTTTACCCTCTTGAATTGAGAAGGGTTCAAACACGAGAAAGATCACAGGGGTGGCGCAGGGGGGAGAAAAAAGATCAAAGCTGCGGAAGATTACAGGTTTGATCGAGGAGATGTTACTATTTTTTTGTCTCTTATGTATTTCTTCGCACAAACACACTCGCGCGCGCGTCTACCTTTTATAAACGCACGTCCGGATACCTGCGGTCTCTCCTCGTATTTGAATTCCGAGTTCATTTAATACTATCCTGGGGAGATCCGCAACGAATCCGTAGATGATTTTACCGAATTTGCGCGGCTTCTACCAACGCGAGATTTTATTTATAATCTTGATCTACGTGATATTTCGTTTAACGAGTAAATAGAAATTAACCTTTGGTTGCACCGAGTAACATTTATCGATAATAAATATTCGTGAATTTAATTTTTTTGCGGCAAGTGGTATTATTAAATTTGGCAATTTCGCGAAGCTGAAGGCCTCTGCCAATACACTCGCGCAATATTAAAACGTTGAATTCGATATTTACGAATTATTTTCGCTCTTCTCCTTCATTTATTCCGATTGTACCTATACATCTTTTGCGGCCGATCGCGCAACCATGACCGCGAGATGACAGATAACGCGATCTGCCCTTGTCTGCACTAAGCGAAAACACAGTCACGCACACAACGCGATATCTATATATATATATGCGCCGTATAATTTCTATTGATAGTGCAAATATCGAGGAAATCGATTATAAAACTATTTTCATAAGAGACAATTATTTTTAGTGATATGTCATTTTAAGTTGTCGCGAGCAGATAATGTTACGTTGGCGCGCAAAAACATTCTAGGATAAAATTATGACATAAGAGGACAGTCTGCGCGACATTTCTCGTATACTAACGCAGTTTACGTGGATAATCATGAACGTTAATCTATCCTTTGCTGGCCAAAGGAGATGCACACGTTATAATTATAGTATATAACATATTCCGAAAGAGGCACAAAGAGAGAGAGAGAGAGAGAGAGAGAGAGAGAAAGTGGCGGCTGGTCCGGTTAATTACGCGTTACTTTATCTGCCCTTCTTCCCGTTTCATCGGTCGGATTTCAATCCGTTTTCCTGCTCTTTCTAGTCGACGTCCCTCGACGGCATTTTGACCGCACGAACCGCCACCGACACAAAAGTATTACAGATATATGAACGTAGAGATGTATACGTATAAAAACCGTCATGTACATTTAATAACGATATGTATGTACAGCAACGTTATGCACGGGTTGCATGCACGTTGCTGCGTGTACGTGTGGGCGCGCGTGTATGTTTCAAGCGGAAAATATATTTAAAAGATATTCATGTCGCAGTTTTCCCGGAAATTTTCTGTTTCAATGGCGGAATACGTGATCGCGAATGAGACGCAAATTAATGAAACATCTGACGGAGCCCCACGAATGAAAGCTATGAATGGGACTAAGTACCACGAAGTGTCCTGCAAATGTATCTTCCTTTGGTCGGTCTCATTCCCCCCCGATTGTGTTTGCACTTGGTAATTTTGTTCCTTAAGTTTTGCAGGATAACGAAGAAGACGCTTCATATCGTTACCCCGCGTGAATTGTTTCTGTTCAGTTATATTTTCGCAAAGAATTCTCTACCTTCCGTACCTGGACCGTAGTTGAGGGTAGTTGAACGAAGGTGTACGAAACAGTTTCCCGTGGCATTGAGTTTTAACATCTCCTAAGATCGGTGTGCAATAAAGAATATCTTTATTGATTCGAAGACAATCGCTCCGCTGCGGCGTGATTAGAAAATATGATTGGACACGGTACGTCATGTTCAAGCTGCTTTATTAAGAATTTGAGACAGGACCCTTTCAATTTACATTAAATTAATAGCTTCAGAACGTAATGAGTGTGAACTTTGCTGTCGATTTTAGATAAACTACAATCGTGAAAATTGATTTGAAAATTTACGATAAAATAGGTCTAAACGAAACGGCGTGACTTATAAAATTGCGCATTATTTCGATACATACTTACACGTCTCTTGATATATATATCAATGTTAAAAAAAATGTTTCAAAGATAATAATCGTTGTTATCGAGAGTTTTGAAATCTATACGGAATTGATTGCGTAATGTAATTACCCTGATCTGTATGAACTTCAAAACTTATTTATGAAAAACATGATGTGAGTAGAGAGTAACACTACTTAAATGTTCTTCGATTGGTAATCAGAGTCTATATAAATCCGCGTGAATATCTAGTCTTTCTTTACGTCGCGTAAAAAGAAAATTGTCTAACGAGAAGCAGCGTTAACAAACACAAAACAAAGACGGAAGTACAAATATTAAACGAAACGATTAAAAGACCAAAAGCGCGTTATTTTGTCTTACTGGGTCGAGTGATAACTCGAATAGTAGATAACTTCTGACGCAGATAGCAAGTTGTCTTTCTCTCTCTACTAGAATTCCTAATCCTCCAATCCCTCAAACGATTCTAAAATTAAATTATTAATGGAATTGAAAGGATGAGAAAAAAAAATTAATACTTGTTATTTGCATCAGAATACATATGCGTATGTATATTTATGATTTTTTTCAACCCCTCAATAAGAACATATCGATTTTTTTATTTAGATGGCGAATGCGTTTTTATCAATTTAGTAACAATAGCAACAATAAGGAAACAAGGATTAGTTCGACTATCCTATCAGGTATCAACGTTATAATTCTCTTATGGGCGTTGTGTTCAAAAATTGTGGAGGGATAAAATCCGCTTGCGTATTTAGATTAGCGTACCTCCTGTTCGTATGTTACTATCGAAAGTGTCCCAATCTAATACAAGGTTGTAAATAGTATTGGTGCTGTATGTTCTATCAATGTTCTCGCAGCAGATTGATAAAACATGAATATGAAAAAAAAAAGTAAAATATACGTTGATCGTAAATGTTGCAAAGGGGGTGGTTATTCATGTATCGATTCTTCAAAACCTAAATATGATCTACAGTTTAAATATTGAGATACAAAATGAGAAGGAATTCGCTGAAATGTCTATCTTGAGGAAAATACTCGCTTAAAAGTTAACTGGGTCATAGTTCACTCAGCCATACAAAATCACAATGCGTGGTGCGAATAAGGTACAATTGATTTTTCTTTCTGAAAACAATTTTATTTTTAAGAAATCGAAACTGTTCAGACTGTTGCAACTACATTTTTCAACTTGGTGTTGTATTACAGTTAAATTGTATCGCTTTCAGGCATCGCCCGCATCACGATAGGCAAACAGGATGTGTTTTTTCTTTGTTTTTTTTTCGGCAGAGAAGAGGAATGGTATATTATATTTATAAAAAACATACACAACGAGGATTCTCTAATCGTGATATACATATATATATATTATACGTATGTAGAATTAAAGAATATATAACGTCAAAGAGAAATGCATCAGTTAACACACTGGAATATCAATAGAATACATCAATCAATCATTTTAAATTCGGAAATTGCTATTCTAATGCTGAAGATATTTGTATCTTGAACACTCACTAAAATATATATAGGATACTGAAAAATTTGAGCTCATTGCATTGTGTCTTTCCGCTATATCACTTAGTGATACTAAGCGAGTGTATTTGTGGAAGAATATGGATTTCGCACAAATCGTTTAACACAGATTTTTTTTACAAATGCACACGGGTGTGTTAAACTGTGGAACGAAGCAAAGGAAATTTCGAAATTAGCAAATTCCTTATTATAAAAAACAATCATACTGCAAACGATTTTCTATCCTCCGATGAAAAAGGAAGTAACGTTACTTGAAGTAGAAAATATTACAATGTAGGCAAATTCCCTTCTACACAATTCGACGAGTTTTTCAATGTCCGTGCTCGATAACAAATTACTAGTATCGATGAGAGAATCTTGGTCGATAGGAATGGACGAAGTGGGGCAATAAAGACAGCAAATAGGTATGCAACAGCTAAATAAAAATGCAGTCATTACAGTATCTAGTTGATCTACATCTCTCCGCAATCCGCTATTATGATCTTTTTGGATGTCTTGCCGCTTTGGGAACCCATGGCCTCCAACTGAAAACAACACGTAAATAACACACGTTAGCCGGGCTGTTGAGTATCGACAAAGTGGTTAACTTATCAAACGAAAAACCTAGGTTCGATTCTCTACTCTGCCACTTTACAAACAAGTTTTAAGTGGCATAACATTTTACAAACTGTAGGGCTAACTCTGTGCTAACATGAGTGAGAGCAATGGTAGGGTCCTCGGTTCGATCCTGGCCCTCGTCCCGTATACTTTCCCGTTAAAGAAAATTTAAAAAATGTAGCGCTTAAAGAAATTTAAGCGCCTAGTATTGAATTCAGTCAAGATTAAGCATCAATTTCACGGAATTTTTTAGAGATATCACACCGATATAACCTAACGTTTCCACAAAAGGGTAAACTTAAAAAAGAAAGTAAAAGCTGTTGGCTCTCGAGTTTAATTCCTCGTCCTACAAATGGATTTTCAATTTGTGAACTAAAGGATAGAGAGATTCCCAAATGAGAATAATAACAGTAAGAACAGACGTTAGTTGCTCGCTGAAGAGAAACGAGCCATACTTTTCTAACAACATCCATCCCTTCGGTGACTTTTCCGAACACAACGTGCTTTCCGTCGAGCCAGCTGGTCTTGGCACTGGTGATGAAAAATTGGCTGCCGTTGGTGTTGGGGCCGGCGTTTGCCATAGACAATATGCCAGGTTCGGTATGAGTCAGCTTGAAGTTTTCGTCCTCGAACCTGGCGCCGTAGATGGACTTGCCCCCGGTGCCGTTGTGGTTTGTAAAGTCACCACCCTGGCACATGAAGTTCGGAATCACCCTGTGGAAACTGCTACCCTTGTAGCCGAAACCCTTCTCCCCGGTACACAGCGCGCGGAAGTTCTCCGCCGTTTTGGGGACAACGTCCTTCCTCAACTGAAAATTGCGAGAAGCGTCGTTAAAATTCGTAAACGTTCATTCCGCGCGTACCCTGAGACTAAAAGTTGTTGCGGTGACTAAAAGAACCTAAATTTCATTCTTCTACTTAAATGTACAGGATGTTACGAATAAGGTGTCCATCCGCACTAAGGTTTCCTCGCGCTTATTCACTCAAGACGTTTTAATCGATTACTCGATAACTGTTGGGAATTTTACAAAATGCTACATTGATTATTAATATTTGCTTGGCGGCATTTTCTTGACGAAATATTTCTTGATTCAACACATTTTTCTCTCAATGTACAGGCCGCTGCTATTAATAGTCTGTTCTTATTTCAAGATCTTAAATAATAATACGACTCTGCGATTGGTTTACCTATTAAGATTGTGCTCAAAGCTGGGCATACATCTACGAAACGAACAACGAACGTGATCACTTGTTATCATTCGGTAGGTGTATGCGTCGAAGCAAATGCGAACAGAATGTTCGATTCGCGTTCGGCTCGAGTCCCCCATGAGGCGGCACGTGAAAGATAAAAGGAACGGGCGCCTTCAGAACGCGAATCGCCGAACGTTCACGTTCGTTGTTCGCTCGTAGACGTATACCCAGCTTAAGACGGTCTTAAACATAAGAACGGACTGTGAACACCGGCCATAATTTCTAGATACTCGTCTGAAAAGACTACACGGCGCGCCGCGGCGCTCAACGAGTCGGGTTTGCCAGGGCAGCGGGGAACGAGTTACTTTGAGTTCTCGCAAATCAGTTATCGGAGAAATAACGTTAACGATCAAAAGAAATAGCGGATATAAATATACGCTGTTACCCCAGCTCGCGCCATCTGTGTCTAAAATTCTAAACTCGCGGCGTTAAGAAAGCCGACACCGCTTCGCGTTATGCAAAATATAAAATTGCAATCGTGCGCGGAAATCTATGTTTAGCCTGGCGCAAAGTTGCTAATTATATAACGCGCCAATTAGTGTACGGCAACGGTGCTCTTGCTCGACGGGAAAGAGAGGCGTCGTCGCGCGAATTGAGAAGCAAATCGGAAAGCGCGTCGGTTCGCCGTGAATTTCGCAAAAAGGGCAAGGCGAGCGTCTTATCTTATCGGCCGCGCTGCTAAAATGTAACCACCTTCCGCGCGAGCGAATCGCGAATTTTCTTGGCATTCTTATCTCGACAAGGCGCAGAGCTGCGACACATCCGGCGATTTTCCGCCAACTCGGAGCAATCTCGGCCGCGGCGCGCATCTCATTTTCCCGTACGCACACGCGGGGACACGCGGTCGGCCGACGTCAATGGAAAATTTCGCAATGGCCAGGAGCGTGTGCGTGCTCGCGCGACCGTGACGCATCGCCAGCGACGGTCGCGCGCGCTCGCCGTGACTCCGCGCGATCGCGCGTCCTCGTGCCGACAGCCGCCGATCGTCGATTGTTAGGCGAGTCGCGCTCGCACGTCGTCGACGACAACGGCGGCGACAAGTAGTGGCGGCGGCGGCGGCGGCGACGAGGGGGAAGATCGCCGGCGGGCCGGAGTCGAGGCTCGAGGTTAAATCGCCGAACCGGCGCGGTGGAAAAATCAAGATGGCCAGGCATGCCGGGAGCGCGGTCGGCGCGGGGACGTCGGTCGGCGTTTGGCCGCGAACGCGCGCTAATTTCGGCTCACCTCCATCACGATGCGGCCCACGGGCTTGTCCTCCGCGGTCATGTCGAAGAAAACGCGTGGCAGTGCCATGTTCTTAGCTGCTGCGGCGATACTTCGTAGGAGCGTGTCGTGGGACGGTCGTCTCGGCCGGGCGGTGGCTCCGAAATGGCTCGGCTGCCTGAAGGTCGAATCAATTGACAGCCGGCAAATCGATCTCAACGCCATTCCGCCGCTCCTGGAAACCCGCCGGAAATCGATTCCGCGCGACACGATCCGCGCCGTTCGCCCCGCGACGTCGGTTTCGGCGGTTTCGCGGCCCTTTCGTCGGTTATTCCGCGAAAATATTATGTAATAAAAGGAACGTTTTCGGTTACAAATTGGCTACCGCCGAATGAGGTGGCGGTGCCGTCGGCGCCGGCCAATCGGCCGCCGCGCATTCCGCCCGGTCTCGACCAATCGAATGGCTCGTCGTGGATTCTCACTGTCGCACGTTGCCAACGTTGGAATATTAAAGTCTCTATCTCTGGGCGCTTTCCAACAGCGCCACGCGGGCGACACTGTAGGTCTGTTCGTGTCGCACATGGGGCATGTCCCAACATGCCCCAACATGCTCCAGCCACAGTATAACC